CCCCCTATTTTCTCAGGTCTGTACCTTCATCATTTTCCACCCAAACTGCCCAAAACTTAGAGGATCATAGTATTTGCCAAGGACATCCACATTGCCAAATTTCAGGTAGTTAATATGGAAGGTACCCATGTTTATTAAAGTCTACAAGATAATTGATAGGAAAACTTCCACACATAAACACACACAGTACTGTAGCCACTGAGCTTGAAGAACAGAAGCAGGGACATTTGGTGGCACAAGGAGGATGGTGGATAAGATTTGCAGAGCACCAGGAAAGCAGGGGTATGCAGACTGCAAAGGAAAATTTGGCATAGGAGGGCAGGCATTGGGAAGGGACAGGAAGGTGAAGTCCCACTTGATATCCTCAGGATTGGAATACTTCACACCTGTTTGTATTCCTAGTGGCTACAGTATGCAGCCAATCAATAAAGCCCAGATAAGACTGCCGATGGGGGGGGGGTGCACGAGCTAAGCGATGACATCACCTGGATGTGACATCATCACGCAGGGGATGTTGTGGGGGGACGCTGTAGCTTTTGAGAAAAAATATGGTAACCATAAAGTTACCGCTCGCTGGGAGGGTGGGGTTAAAATGTCAAAAATAAAAAAAATAAACATGCCCTGTGTGATGATGTCAGGTCCAGGTGGCGTCATTGTGCTGGGTACATTGGTGTGGATGGGACTGTTTGGGGGCGGGGCTCCAGGACAGGAATTTGCAAAGAGAAAGAAAAATCAACCAGAAGATGGGGTGAACTGCTTGACAACATGCCTCATGAGCTATTGATTTATTCTCTCTCTTAAAAAATAGTTAGAGGTTTCCTCATCCCTCATCTGTGAGTCAACTTTACTCAGTCCTCCACAATTCTGAGGGCGCAACTAAATCGTTCTGTCCTTATCTGGGACCCCAAAGTCTTGACCAGTTCATTCAGAACTAATGAAAAATGCCTTCACATCCTCCCCTTTATAATAACAAGAAAATTTCTTTTGTATCACTGTGGTACTTCCTCTGCTTCTCCGAGGAAGCTGCAATTCTGCCCTTAACTGTATTTCCTTTATCTTTATAGTATACATTTCTTTTTCATGCTCTCTCTGTTTCCTTCTCTTTCTCCTGCTGCTCCATCTTAGTTTTTTTCTTGTTCTGATTGAATTTTGTCTCATTTTCTGACTCAATTTTAGCTAACTGTATGTTGTTCTTTTTCATCTTCAATTCTGGCCTATTCGGCTTCTATTTTCTCCAGTTCAGTTTTCATTCTCATAATTTCTACCTCCTGACTAGGATTTTTCTCAGCTGTTCTTTCTTCTCCCTGACTGTCCCCATGTGCCTCTCTGGGTCTGCATGGTGGTGCCATTTCTGGCAGGAATTTTGCAGTAATTTCTCTCAAACTTATAAAATATTTTCTTATTTCAGTTTGTATCTTTGGTGGGACAAACTAGTTATGGGGTTTATTTTTGTATCACAACACTGCCTCCAAATAAGGATGACCTTGCCTTGTTCCCTCACTCAGACACATGAAAGCCCATTGTCCAAAATTAGACAAAGGAAGATGGCAAACCTCAGCCAAGACTGTTAATTTAGTTAAAAGGACAGAAGCAGTTACAGAACTCCCACCAGATCCTGTACCAGAAGTAGCTTAAACAGAGAGACCAACTAGAGTTTAACAAGTATGGGAACTGCAGGAAGATTTAAATAGGGAATATATGGAGTCTGTAGACATAAACAACAAGAAACTAATATCTTGGATAGATCCAGGGGCAGAAATTACTTTAATAAAGCCTAAATTTGTAAATAAAGAACAATACTTACCAGGAAGAACATGCAGAATGAAGGAAATCAGTAGCCCAGAGTTTGAAGTGAACTTGGCATAACTCCCAATTCAATACAAAGAATTCCAGGGCAAATGGATAATGGGAGAGTGAGGAGAATTGGATGTTCTAATTATATCAGGGAATGACCTGGCCTCACAAGCAAGAGTGGTTAATGTAGTGACCAAGAGTAGGCCTCAGAGGCATCCTCTCAAGAAGTGACAATAGAAAGTCCTTGTTTATTCGAGATCCTAGACCAGTGACTGTATAGAGGTTTTATGAGGCATAAATGTGCTGCTATCTGGGAGAAGTGCAAATAGCTAATGATTCCCAGAAGGTATAGATTGCAACTTTTACATCTGTCCCATGACCAATATCAGGACATCTAGGGATCAACAAGACTGGAGATAGGTTGCAAGCAAGATTCTATTAACCAGTACTTTCTGTACTGGAAAATCAGGAGCTGTTGTTCCATTATCTGTATTGCAGTTTGTGCAGTTGTCTGATCACAATATGTCTCTCAGGACATTGTTCTGTGCTATTGTTAAAGGAATATAAGTTCACTAATCATTCTCTAGAAATGAGTTACATGTACAGCTATCTACTTTTAACCTGTGGTACTGAATTTCTTTGTGTAATTGATTAGGATAGATTCAGTGTTCTGGTTCCTTTGTGTAGGTTTTGTTAATGGTGGGTGATTGTCACTAGGGATGGGCACAAATCTAAAAAAAAAAACCATTTGGTTTTGGGTGGCTCTCGAACTGAATCCCAAACAGAACTATGCCAAAAGGCCCCCACCCGAACTGAGCATTGGTTTGATGAGTTCGGTTTCCCCTTTCTCCTAGCTTCGGCTTGTCGTTGCCAGGAGAAAGGGGGGGATTGCCTAGGAATGATTAAATGGCTGGCAGACATTTTTATTTATTTATTTGTTTGTTTAATTTATATCCTGCCCTCCCCACCAAGGCAAACTCAGGGTGGCTAACATAGAAATGTAAAAAAAATAAAATAAAATTAATAAAATCAAGATAATACAGTTATAAATATAAATATAAAATATACAGATATAAAGTGCTAGTTTGTATCAGATGGCGGGCATAGCAGCATTCTCCAGTAACAGCTGGATGACATCGTAGTCTGGGTTACTTGGCTGTTAACAATGATGTTAATGTTGATGTTGGGCCAAGGCTATAGTTGCTTAGGTGCGGCTCCTAATCAAAAGCCTGGTGGAAGAGCTGTAAGAGGTCCTGCAGGGCCCTGATGTCTTCCGGGAACTCATTCCACCAGTGTGAAGCTGCCACTGAAAAAGCCCTGGCCCTTGTTGTAGCCAGCTTTACCACTCTGTTTCACTTCTCCTTACTTCAAAGCGAGGAAAAATGAAAACGATTGGTGAAATGACTCACAGCCATTTCAACCTAACCACTCAGCTACGGACCCCGTGCTACTCAGCTGTTAGGTTTGAATGGTCCTGAACAGCCGAACCAGACAAAAGTATGGTAAATGTTCGGGGAATGTGCCTTCCCCGAACATTGGTTCAGGGGCTCTGAAACAGCCTGAATTTGTGCTGAATTTTCGCTTGTGAGCTGGTTCATGCCCATCCCTAATTGTAATGTTTGAGTTTACATTACATAAAGTTTTTTAAATGTAAAGTAGAAATAAACAAGCAGAAACTTGATTAATTTTATTTCACTCCCCTATGCATGTCCTGATAGTGTCATTTAATGTGTGTAGTGCAATGGCAAGGAATATTCACAGTCACAAGAAGCTTAAGGCCAAGGGAAATGATGGCTTGTATTTAGGGTTGTAGCTAATATGTGGATTTTATGGAATATTAGTGAGAAAATTTGCAAACTCTAGACCCCAGCGGTTGCTTGCATTAAGACAAATTAAATGGATTAAAAGTACAATGAAGAACTGGCTCTTGTTGTCTTTGGAGGTCATTGAAAAATGAATTCATTATACAGCAGCTTTTTAAAAACTCTGATCTGTGTAGACCTCTTAAGAGCTATGAATTATTTTCTTGTTAGGGCAGAGTGGTGCTAATGAACTGTAATTGCAGCTTTTGTTTGGAGGTCCTTCTGCAAAACCATGGCAACATGTTGTTCAGATGACAATGGCTGCTGCCCCGTAATGGCCAAACTCTGCTAATATAGCACAACCCTACTGGAATGTATCCACGAGAGATCAGCAGGCTTGATGGGATCCATGGTAGAGTGCTTCTTGACAGTTCAAGGGCATACCTCACTCATGAATTTTTGTTTCCCTTGCACCCTGTGTATGCCTTGACAGAATTTCTTAGCTCTTGGTTAATTTTTCATTCTTAATTAACTGTCTCTGTTTTGTACTCTGTCTTCCCCATTTCCCTGACTCATAGGACCTTTTAGGGGCAATAATAAAAAGTGTCTGTTTTCTTGGAAACAAAGTATCAGTGATTATGAATTCAAGGTTGTCTAATATGGGGTTGCACAGCTGTCAGACGTCTTTCTTTCCTATGCACTGTTTCACTATAAATGCAAACATTTTATATGGAAAGGAAATAATTAATTTTTTGTGAATAAACAGGTGGCTCACTCAGATGTATAAAAGACAGTGTTAGTTTGATCATGCGAATCACACATCCCAACCAGTGTTCCCTCTAAGCTGAGTTAGTGTGAGCTGGCTCACAGACTTTTAGCCTCCGGCTCACACATTTTTGGCTTAGCTCAGAAGGGATGGCTCCAGAGCAAACTAAGTTATGCAGTAACCAAATCACTTGCTCACAACTTTAATGCCAGGAGCTCACAAAGTAGAATTTTTGCTCACAAGACTCCACAGCTTAGAAGGAACATTGAACTTGTTAGTTGATCAAATTATATTGCATATCCTGGAATTGAGATCCTTCAGTAGGAGGACATATGAAAAAAGATGCTCTATTAAAGTAAGTTGGACAATACTTTTTAAGAAGGCAGTGGTTTGAGAGAGTGGTATGCTTCCCATACTGTGGAGATGCATAATATTCCTTTTGTCCCACTGTTACTTTTGGTCAAACGGCTTTTGCAGGTTTTTGAAAGAACTGTAAAGGTGTTTGTTCAGACTTAAAAGTGGGTGCAGGATTAGGAACACTGAAGCCCTCTTTCAGACTGACTTTAGTGTTCTAAAAAAGCTATAATTCGTCTTCAACCTAAAAGTCTCAGAAACTCACAAGTCATCTTGTGTTTCAGAACTGTCCATTATGAAGGTGGTCCTGTGTCGATTCATGCACGTTCTCTTTGGAGACTGGAGACACTCAGGGTTGCGTAAGTAAAAAGTCAAGGCATAATTCACTTCCATTGTCGCATTCTGTCTCTCATCTGCCCACCCCCTCTGCTTTCTCTTGACAATTTTTTTTGTAGCTATGCTGAAAGGTTGTGATCACAGTTTGGAAATGGCCCTGTTTAACTGTGAACACAATATACAATCATGTCCTCCAATAAGTTTTGGTTTAGAGTCTTCAAAATACTTCACCTAAATCAGTCCCATGGAAGTGAATGGTCAATGTCTGATCAGTACTTAGCAGCAGCTTCAATGAAGGTTGCACTGTAATGATTCTGCTGTTTATGTCCATTTCTTCTAGTGATGTGATGATAAAATAAACTGACAGGACACTGGATAAATACTGTTCCCCCTTTAGTTTGTTGGAATTAAAGCCGAACTTGAGAATCCTAGAAGGGAAGTGGTGAATCACAAATAGGTTCCTTTATGATTCCCTAGTCTGTCTCATTTAGAAGTGCACGATCTTCATTTTCATGATTGCATAGGAGTTATTACCTTGAGGTTCAAGGGATGACAGTCTTCTGTTCAGTTTTTCATATATCCTTAATTTGACAGGCACCGTCTTAGACTACAGCTTTATGCATTTGATGGTACATGTCTGAAGAATGCTTATTTGAACACCTGCATTTCACTTCAACAGTGTTATTGGGTCAGCTTGTTTGAAAGGGAATTTAAATACCCATGAGTAGCATTCAGCCGTTCAACTATGATTACCGTATTTATTAGGAAAGCAACATTGGAGCTCTGTTGTATAATCTTTTGAAGGCCGATAGCACATTTCTTTCTCATCCCTAAACAAACATAGACAACAGTTAATAAAAAACTATGCAAGTATCAATCAGCAGGAGCAGTGTATGTTGAAGGACAGATTGATGAACTATGTATTGGAAAGGGTATTTATTCTGTCTCCTTGATTTAAACAGAATTCAGAGTTCTGCAGCCCCCTGTTGGTGGCTCTCTGGAAATACATTTAGCTAACTTGAACTAAATGTGTGTTATAGTTTATTTGGCCAACTAGATTAGCACAAAACATTGTGCAGGCTTTCAAGATCATCAAAGGAATTGGCTGTTTGTCTCTTACATTCTTAAGGAATGGAGAGAGATGTTCATATGAAATAGGTTTTGGAAAAAAACATAGCTCTGTGAATTTAAAAAAAATCATAATACAGAGGTGGAATATAAATTTAGGGTATGAATGGAGTATGAATATTGTCATTGAATCTTTACTACTAAATAGGGAAAAGGTTTCTCATGACCTAGAAAGATATGAACCAATACAATTTGGGGAATTGTTTTCTAAGAACTTTCTCTGAATTCATTGCTGTTGTTTACCAAGTCACCCAGCTGCTTTCCTATGAAAAGTCTAGCTATAGAAAGTCAATATTGTAACTTGTGACCTACCACTGAGAATACATCCTGCTGGCTATGTATGTCAGACAGCCACAGGATCAGTAAACATCCTGGTTTTACCACCTTCCTAATTTTTGCAGAATTGTGGATGGGGATTGGGTTCGGTAGGCCACAATTTATACATTCTGAGTTTAAACTATGTTTCCTAGTCTTCAGGAGTTGAGAGGTGAAGTTGCCAAGTGTTAGTTGAAGAATAGGCCATTATTGTTTGATAAAGAGAGGAGCGGAACAGAAGAAGTAAGCCTGGTTCAGAACTGGTCAAAGGAACAAGACTGATCTGAGGACCTGTGGTAGGATGAATCTGATGTGGTTAGAGAATAGTAAATTCCATAATAGGAGCCATCATTCACCTTCTGGCAGCTCTGTTGGTCTAAGATGGCACAGCCCCAAATTTGGCATCTCTGTTGGTCTAAGATGGCACAGCCCCAATGTAGGGGAGAAACCTCCTCACTGGGTACCCAAACCCCCACCTTGTACAGCTGTCCCCTTGCTCTCAATGGTCAGATGTCCAACAGTCTGTCTTCCACTGTGTTCCTTCACAAGATGGTCCTGTCATGATCAGCTCATGTGTTAGCAGGCCTTGAAGTGAACTTACCAGGGGTTTCTTTGTGTTCTCACAACTCTATTCGTCTTCCTACAGTCCTATGTGTTTGTGACTACAGTTACTCTTCCATAGGTACTGTGGAGGAGATCCTGTTACATTGGTTCCCTTTCTCACTCTGCTGTATTTCTGGTTTGGGAGGTTCTTTTATACACTTCACAAAGCCAATCTGGGGCATATGCTGTGCTGACAGTCCCAATTACACTGAAACTGGCTTTGGTCAAGATGCCTCCTGCAACAGGTCCACATTAAAGTTTCCTAAGTAATGCACTACAAGTACACTTGGACCTGTAAGATCTGTCATTTAGGGGAAAACTTAATTTAAAAAATCTCCTTATATATAATTCTGTTTTCAAGTGGCAATGTTCCATGCGCTGCCAAATCAGTTGGCTCCCTGAACTGTCACTTAGTAGGTGTCCTTTTTTTCAAATGGCTGTGTTGTCTGAGTCCTGCCCACACAAGCGCCACCCAGCGCCTCAGCCTCAGTATGCTGGGAGGTGACGGACGGGTCGGATGCTCCGGGGGGCGAATGGTGATGAGGCCAAGCCAACTCATGGCAGCACCACGGTGGTTGTAGTTAGCTGCGGCCGGGTGTAGGTAGCCATGTGGCCTGCGAGTGGACTGCAGGCGGCGGAGCTAGGTGGCCGGCCAGAAAGGCACTGGCAGGGCATTCCGCTGGCCCTCGGCCCCAGGGTCCGGGGAGGGGAGAGAAAGCAGATTGGCATCATATCCTTCTTGGGGTGGAGGCAGGTGCAGGCAGCAAAGCTGGGTGGGCGGCCAGCCAGGAAGGCATTGGCGGGGCATTCTGCTGACCCTCAGCTCTGGGGAGGGAGGAGAAAGCAGATTGGCATCATATCCTTCTCGGGGTGGAGGCAGGCGTGGGCGACAGAGCCGGGTGGGCACTGGTGGCCCGTTCCACTGGTCCTCGGCCCTGGGGAGGGGGGAGAAAGCACATTGGCATTGTGTCCTTCTCGGTGCAGAGGTGGGCACGGGGGGCCGAGCAGGGTGGGCAGGCGGCTGGGAAGGCACTGGTGGGGCGTTCTGCTGGCCCTCAGCCCTGGGGTCTGGGGAGGGGGGAGAAACGGGATGGCCATCATATCCTTCTAGAGCTCATTGTATTGCTTCTACAATGAGCTTTACTGCTAGTTAAGAAATGTTACCATTTCAAGGAATGGTGACTGCCTACATGCTACATTCTCTGTTTTAGAGCTGTCCCATCGCATGAAAGCTCAGCTTATTGAGAAGTATGACAATTCCACTAACTTGCAGAGAAGGTTGGCAGTGAGAGAAAACCTACATACATAGTTATTAAACTAGAACAAGAATGATTACCACAGCTTTTATATGTTTCATGAAAATGTGCTATAAAATTGGCTAGAAATGGAGAGAATAAAAACATTCCAGTATTAGTTGAAATGATTACAGTATCACATCTGTTTCTACAACTACTACGGGGGGTGTGCTACTGATGCTGAGCTGGATACTTTTTTTGCTTTCATTTTACAGACACCAGCACCTTCCCTTAACAGTCCATCAGTAGCAACTATCTTGAAACAAATAAGGGTAAGAAGGAGAAGTCAGATTTATGTATCACTTCCCTCCATTTTGCCCTTAGGCTTTTTTTGTTGCAGGTTAACTGATATTAATCAACAAATGTTAAAATGGTTCTCATGCAAAACATAAGAGCCCTGCTGGGTCAGACCAGTGGTCCATCTAGTCCAGCATCCTGTCTCACACAGTGGCCAACCAGTTCCTCTGGACAGCCAACAACAGAACATAGAGGCTGAGGCCTTCGCCAATGTTGGCTCATGGCTCTGGGATTCAGAGGCTTAGTGCCTCTGAATGTGAATACATTTTTGCTACTGGTTTTCCTTTTTCAGTCTCTTCTTACAGCCTTGATTCATGTTTTTCTCCATTTTGTTTTTTAAAAATACATTTATAAACACCTTATCAGGCACATTTATGATGTGTGCAAGCACAGTACATGAACCCTATGGGATCTTGCCATCCTGGCCCGTCCTCTGGATCCCACTGCCCACCAGTTCACATGCCTTCTACACATTCTTTGGGACACTTAGGAATATGGAAGAAAAGACAGTTTGTTCAGGATATCCATCTGCTAACTGCTGAAGTCCGTAACGTTCTCATCCTTAAGGGCAAGCTATGTTAAGACCAAATATTGTGGTCTGCAAAGTGACAAAGGGAGAGACAGGGGATATCTGAAGCCTCACTTGTGATACTATAATCATGAAAAGGCTTGTGATGCCATAATTATGCCAGCCAATAGGGAAGCATTTTTACTCTTCATTTTCCAGCCAACTTTATAGTACACATAGTAATGATCAGGGGTCGTTTCGTAGAAAAAGAGCTAGGGGAACTCATTAGCATAACTCATTAGCATATGCCACACCCCCTGACATCACCGGAAGTGTGTTATAAGGCCACACCCACCACTCAGTTAGTCTTAGTCTTAAAGGTTAGTCTTAAAGGTGCTATTTGAACTCTTGGACTATTTTGCAGCAACAGACTAACACAGCTACCTCGGGGAAGCTCCTAGATGGGGCTGGGAGTCCTTGCGGAGGCCACGTGGAGTGGCCTCGGCCAGGCAGAGGGGGAGGACACGAACTTACCCTCCTGCTTCTTCCTCCTGCAACAGAATGAGGCTGGAAGCAGGGGCCGGCCGGAAGAAGGGGCGGGGCTTCGTCATGTGCCCCGCCCCCTGCATCTCACCCAGGGGAACTGCGATCCCCCCCAAATCGACCTCTGGTAATGATCTTTATTGTAGGACATATTGACTTATCAACAATTGAAAATAAAATGAGATATTTAGGAATAAACTCTGCTGCATTGGAACAGGGGTATGGAACCACTAATTATCTTGGATACAACTGCGCATAAATGAAGCAGTACCTACGAAACCATTTCTGCAGACATTATGTCCCTCTTGCACATGAGAAATTCCCTGGTGGGCAGTGTGGTGTAGTCATTCTGATGCAGAGCTGTCTGTATGTCCTGATTGTTGGGGTTAGCTGGTACAGTTAGTGCAGTAACCACCAACTACTTAGCAGAGTGCATAAAATGTCTAGCGCAGAGCGCGTCCAGCCAGGGCAACAAAGCTTAGGGTGCCCCAAAGGTACACAGAGCAATGTTTTCAGTTTAACAGACTAATATTAGTCAGTTTATTTTAGAACTACAATGTGGATAGAAAAGATGAGATGTAGGATAGTATTCTAGTCTAATGAAATAAGGATGGACTCAGATAGTGAGACGCCATCTGAGTCAAGGTGCCAAGATGAGAACAGCATGTCCTCCCTCTTGGTGCATGCAGGAAGGAGGAGAGAGTAGTTGTGGGGGAGAGAATGAATGGAAGGAAGGAAGTTGTTCCCTGAGATCTCCATTCTGCATATCAAAGGGTTAGTGACAGGACAGTAAACACAGGAAGGAAAGGTCAGCATGAAGTCTGGAGGCTGAGGCAGGGGACTCATTTGCAACACTGATGACACATAATGCTGTTTTGATCTAGGTAAGAAATCTGAAATAACGTAGCAAACATATTAGTGTTCAGAAAATCATGTGCATCTCTGAATCTGCTACCACCATTGAAATCAATGCATAGTTTTTGTCTCATGTATAGATTTTAAAAAAATTCCTTTCAAGAAGTCACTGGAATGGGATACCAATGTGCCATTCATTGTAGAAATAAAACTTAAGTGACATTCTCAAGAATTGTAATACTTTGCTGTTAGACCTAATTCAGTTAGAATAGATTTTATTTAATTTCATATTATTTGGCATTCAGATTTGGCATTTTCATTGCTTAAGAATTCAACTTTGAACTTTCATTAGGTGGAGTGGAAGTCACATTCGATGGGGGCAGCCATTCAGACTAAGACATATAACTACAGGGAAATATTTAAGCCTCATGGATGACAGGAGTCTTCTTCTAACAGACAAAGAGAAAGCTGATGTGAAATCTACAGCTTTTTGCTTTCGGTCTTCCAAGGTAAGAAATAAATATAGCATTAATTTGAATGACAGTGCTTGATCAAGTGATAAAATAAATACTGTCAATAATAGCTCCTCCTCAACTCTGCTGTGCTTTGATCTTCAGATTCAACTGAGGCCCACAGGCTTCAACCTCCTAGCAGTCCTAGGCAAGGAAGAGGCTGCTGGCAAAACCATCAATAGCTTGTGCTGGAGATCCCTAGCTAAGAGCTGATTTATATGTTACAGTCTACACAGACTGTGTCTTTCAGTCAGTTGTGAGTTCCTCTCAGTTTCCGAACACACAGTGCCTGATTCAGATCAGTACTGTGGTGTGCAGGGCAAGGGGCTTCAGCCTTCCACTCCCAAGCTGTTTTAAAGGCTAAAGCTCCTTCTACTCATGTTCTGTGATCCCAGTCTGAATTGGGCATCACATGCCTGGGAACTGAAGAGAAAACGGTGTTACGCTTACCGTAACTATCATTCATCCCACTGCGCAGAACCCCATGTGGGACTGTACAGGGCAACGCAGATGAACCTGCAATTTAGAGGGGCTAACCCAAACATAATCTGTGTAGATGATGACATGTGGAGTCTCCTTAAGCCTGTAACTCAGGAGTGTTAAGCTTATGGGCATGGGCTGCATCTGGCCTGCCAAGGATACTTGTCTAGCCCACAAGACACCCCTCATTCAGGGATTCTGTCTTCCTACCACGCTTGATGGAGGGGCCTGACAGAGCCTAAAGAAGTGCAGTTCCTGATTGTCTGCAGGATGGACACACTCCACAAGCTGAAGATAGTCTGGGATGTACAAGGTCAAAGGACACTTGTGAAAGAGGTAGAAAGGGTGCAACCTCCTGACTTGTGTGGCTATTATCCCAGGTGGGCTCCATGACTCTGACAATAAACATTCCCAGGAGTGGAAAGGACTGCTTGGGAGCAGAAACATTGGCAAAATGGGCTATCCTTGCATTCATGGATTACAAGAGGCAATTTCTTTTTTCTTCTTTGTTTACTACATCAGAGCCTGTCAGCAAGGCTTTGTAAGAATTTTGGGCTCAACTTTTTAAACTATCCTATGCTAGGGCTTATAAATCTGTGATATGAGTCTCTAAACATGCATTAGTCACTGATTAACTGCAGCCAGCTCTCAAGGATTTTGGCTAAAAGTTTCTAGATCCAAGTATGGCATAGCAGCAGGAAAGACTCCTGCTCAAATCTCACTTCAGCCTTGTAGTCTCCTAGCAGTCCTGAGCCCTGACACCTGTTCAAAACAAAGGCAAAAAAATAATCTTTTCTGACTGGAAGTTCTTTAACACCATGTTGAAAGAACAAAATCAGTTGGCAGTACTGTCCATTTAAGGAGATGCCCTTCTATCAAAATTGTGTGCAGGAAGCAGGCTGTTGAACTCATTAAATGCTAATTATGTTATTAATACTAGATAATATAGTGAGCTGTGGAGAAATGCTTCTTTGGAGTTTTTTATTGAGCAAAACCTTCACCTTGAGTTTTAAAAAGTTTCTCTTTCTTGGCAGAGTACAAGCTAGGGGAGGTACACAATAAGGGCCAAGTCACACAAACACCCCCCTCCAGCTTTTTTGTTGTTCAGTCGCACAGTCGAGTCCGACTCTTTGTGACCCCATGGACCAGATCACGCCAGGCCCTCCTGTCTTCTGCCGTCCTCTGACGTTTGCTCAATTTCATGTTCATTGCATCTATGACACTGTCTATCCATCTCATCCTTTGCCGTCCCCGTCTTCTTTGACCTTCAGTCTTTCCCAGCATCAGGGACTTCTCCAGTGAGTGCTCCCTTCTCATTTGGTGGCCAAAGTATTTGAGCTTCAGTTTCATTATCTGGCCTTCCAGGGAACAGTCAGGGTTGATTTCTTTTAGGATTGACTGATTTGATCTTCTTGCAGTCCAAGGGACTCTCAAGAGTCTTCTCCAGCACCATAGTTCAAAAGAATCTATTCTTCAGCGCTCGGCCTTCCTTATAGTCCAACTCTCGCAGCCATACATGACTACTGAAAGACTATTGAAAGAGGTAGTCAATCTTTAAAGGTACAATTGTGGTCTTAGGGTACTGTCTCAGTGATGATCTGGTTCTTATAGATCCACATGGGTCAATGCAGGGGTAATTCATGAGGACAACCAGATGGATTTCACCTAGAGAACTGGTGTTGAGTAGTGATGGGCATGAACTGGGAAAATGTGGTATGGTTCATGGTATGCCAGCTTCATGAACCATGAAACATCACAAATAAACCAGTTTCATTTGTGAGGTTTGTGACATGGTAGAACACCCCTCAGCATGATAGAGACACCAAACTCACAAGGGATATCCGGCTAACCCACCTCTACCTACATGCCAAGGTTGGTGAGGATTGAATTTATGGGGTTCGAGTTATGGCTCCCCCAAAGAAGGTGTCCCCAGGAAAGCATTTTCTGGGGAAATGACAAGCACAGGTTCATGAGGGTCAGGATTGTATAGAATGGATCCTGTGCAAATTAAAGATGCCAAACATGCAAGAGATCTCCAGATGACTCTCCTCTACTTGCCCTCCAAGTTTGATGAGGATTGGATTTATGGGGTCCAAGTTACAGCCCCCCAAAGAAGGTGCTCCTATGGAGGGAAAAACAGCAAAAAAGCAAGGACAACAGAAGCCATGCAGAACAGAATCGAAGTCCCAGAGAATCTCTGCAGTAGAAACTGAAGGTTGGAGGCATTTTTGCAAGCCCAGCAGAACCAGTGCAATGTGCCCAGCAGAACTAGTGCCACTGTGGCACTGTGAACCCAACAGGACTAAGGTCAAGTCAGGGAAGTGTTTTTTGGGGGGACATGTCAGACACAGGTTCAAAAGTATATAGAATGGACCCCCTGCAAGTTACACACACCAAATGCACAGGGAACCTCACCCTGCCACCTGCTCTTTTACAATCTCTTCAAGTTGGGGGTGGATTACATTTCTGGCGTCCCAGTTACAGACTCCCCCAAAAAGTCTCTCCAATGCTCTTTCCAGAAAAGACAGCTGCAGTTACAGGAGTCTATGGAACAGCTCAGAAATAAGACAGCAAACTCACAGGGAAAGTTCACCTGGGCAGACCCCCCCATCAGACAGTGGAACCAAGGCAAGCATCCCCCCTATGCTTGCAACCCCC